GCGCATGCGCAAAGCTGACCTCATACGTCATCCACCCGCGCAAGCTACATTAAAGTGATTATTACGTTTTGAATATGGATATTTTTCTTACAAAATCGCATCGATTCGCTACAGGAGGCCTTTGTTCACCCCCCGGAGCCGTGTGAGACACTTTTTTTTATGGATGGGCTCTTTTTATTTCACTTCTTTTGGACTGATGCATGCAACACCCGCTGAGTGTCATGAAACAGCTTGAAAGATCAAAGACTGTTTTTAATAAAACTCCGACTGGATTCGTCTGAGAGAAGACAGTCATATACACCTAGGATGACTTGAGGGTGAGTAATTTATGGACTAATTTTCATTTTTGGGTGAACTAACCCTTTAACATCCCCCCCGTCAGCCGCTGAGAGTCACCGCAGATATAACTGCACTCGCATTCGTCCGCAGAGACTTCAAGAGCAAGAATGTGATGCTGAGGAGCGACCTCAGCGCGGTGCTGGGGGACTTGGGGCTGGCGGTGCGCTTCGAGCCGGGGAAGCCTCCGGGAGACACACACGGTCAGGTCGGGACGCGCCGCTACATGGCTCCGGAGGTGCTGGAGGGGGCCATTAACTTCCCGCGGGACGCCTTCCTGGTCGGGACGGCTACATGGCTCCGGAGGTGCTGGAGGGGGCCATTAACTTCCAGCGGGACGCCTTCCTGCGGATAGACATGTACGCCGTGGGGCTGGTGCTGTGGGAGCTGGTGTCGCGCTGCAAAGCTGCAGATGGTGAGAGCGCTGGGGCATTGGGAGGAAATTATACTAACAGCTGTTTCCCGTCAGACACAAAAGTCTGACCCAGTAAAAAAAATTAAAAAAAGTAAAAATTCACATTTTATTTATTTTCAAATTTTACTTATTTATTGTTAAAACTGCAGTCTGTAACTTTTTTTGGTTAAAAATGATCCGAAATCAATATTTGAGCAAGTACATAACCAGCCAGTGTTCAAAACTATCGCCTTCCTTTAGCCTGATTCACAACGGTTAGCTTATAATAATGTTTTCTAGTTTGAGTGGTACGGGTAGGCTTTCGCGGGAAATTCGAGCATGCTGCCGCGTCATTACGTCACGTCTGTAAACATAAAGAAGTTGTCCCGGCTACTAGGCTATCGCATGTGAGGATCCTGCAGGTGGCCGAT